TCTATTTTGTTTGTAGTATAATAATAATAATAATAATAATAATAATAATAGTAACATTACCAGTAACAATATAATTTCTTTGCAAGTTGAAGATAACAAGTTAACGTAACATGAAAAACTCATTGACACTATATATTACTCTTTTAATTTCTTACAACATCTGTGCATCATACTCATTTGAATTTTTCTTGTTAAGATTACCCTTATTAATATTACATTCTATATAAACTTAATAGTATTACTCAAAAAACTTACGAATTCTGCATGAATTGAACTTTAAACCTTGAAAAGTACGTATACTGTATTGGTTTTTTTCGTTGAAACGACAAAATTGTCATATCTTCTGACAAATGTGATATCATTTATTTTGTTTTTAAAACTCCATCTCCTTCTTACTTATATGGATGTATATTTCATAGAATAAAATTGTTTTTCTAACGAACAGAGGCCTCATTGTATTTGAAGGACGCGTTGATTTGAACAAAAAAAATATGGTACCGTCAGAAGTAACAGAAGATGTCTTGACTGCTACAGACGTAGTATAAAACGATCAAAGGTACTGCAATTGTCCTATAGGTTTAATCGATCATAACACTAAAATTGATGAAAGTTTTGATCAAGCTAGCACAATTATGCTTCCTTTTCGATAACGGCAATTTTTTGCGTCATTATTAATTTCAGAAATCATTTATGGCGATGATATTCGGAAAAAGACGTGCTCTCCTCTCCACATGAATCAACTTTCTAAGTCTAAAGATAAATCTTACTAATCGTTTAATTAACTCATCCCAAAAAAGTAGCACACGTACATCGAATAGTGTTGATTGGTGTCACCTATTCGTCATTCTTTGTTCGTGGGCTCTACTCCGATGCACGTATCTTCCTAAATACGGCAGTGATGTAACGCACGCGACACGTAGTAACACTAGAATCTACTTTGTTGTTCGCCAGTGACTCCTCAGACTTATTCAGACTAACACTTACGCTATTATATTCTAGTATTTTTATCAAAATGTCCATGGACGATTGCAATGATGGACCGTCAGGCCTAGAAGGTTCAGGTGTGAAATTAACAGTCTTGTTTGGACAGGCAGTTTATGCGGGTAATCAGATCACGTCTTCCAGCAACATATCAAGAAAGTTGGATGTTGAATTAAGCGCTCATTCGTCATCAAAATTCAATGCTAAAGTAAGGCCATGAGCTATGATACTCAAATATTAATTCATTATACCCTCCGCCAAAAGACGATGTTTCATACCTGTTTTCAGGAACGAAAGCGCAACATTCCTTTTAGGTAAAAACTCGCGTTCTCTGCTCATACAAAAGTATTAGGATACAATTTATACGCAGATTTAGCCAAAATACTTTTATAGAAGGCAGATGATGCGAGTTTTACTTGGAAGGTTGCTACGCTCTCTATCTTGAAAATTTTGTTGAAGGGAGGTAAAAAATTGAATACGCTACACGGGATGAAAGTACGGTATCGAATTCGGGGTGTTCACACGACCCGATGGAACTATACCGTACTATTGTCCCGTAGGGCGTATGACTATTATTTTTCTATTTCTTGGAAATTTAATAAAGTGGTATATTTGTAGTACGTGAGGAAAATAGACTGCATGGAATTTATCATGGATTCAGTTAACGTTGTCGTAAGTATGAAGTTCTTTGTTTATGTATTTATGTCTTTTTCTCGTTTTACCTTTTTTTTAATATTTAATTATATAAACCCCCTCCATAAATTTTGATGATTGCACTTTGTAAGTGAAGTTAAGAATGCCCAGACTTCACATAAATAAATAGTAAACGTGATGCGGAAACAATTTTACGTGTCCTGGTGCTCGGAAGTAAAAATTTCCGTGCGCGTAGGAATGTGTTAATAAAAAAATATGTTTAATTTTTAGGTCAGTGATAAATCCATTTTTGTTGAGGGCATTAGGAAAAATGAGCAAGATGACTCTGTAAATGCTTTCCCACAACTCATTATAAAATATAACATCCCAGATGAGTGCGATTTGGATAGCATTGAGGCAAAACTTTGCTCTGACAAAGTTCTATGCATCTGTCTTCCTCCGAAAAACGAGTCAGTTGTCGATGTACCAGACTGTAACCAAAATTAAAAATATTGAATGATTAACGGTTACAGACAATAAAAGAAAATGTCGAAAGAGAAGGAATAAATGATGGCTTTTTATTACATCTTACTTCTTACTAATGTATAAAGCAAAGTCGATAAAACCGTTTTAATCGCTTACCGCGAAAACTACTGAACCGATTTTGCTGAAATTTTGCACACTGATTCATGATACTTCCTAGATGGTTTTAGTATAGAAAATAGAGGACTGCCACAGAGATATTTTTTGAAAAGGCACTCAATGATAATATCAAGAGACGAAATAATTTCACAAGTTCCAACTGATGAGAGACTATAGTTATACCTATAGCTTACCGGCGCAAGGAAAAGAATATGGAAAAAGAAGTAAAAAAAACTAATACGCCGTTCTTAAACGAGAGTACAGGAAAGGAAATAAAATACAGGACTTGTAAACGTCAATTGGATACACTTTATAGGGAGATCTCTGATTTTTCTAACATCATTGAGAGATAAGACAATTAAAATAAATTTTCATAACGCATTATGACACACCAGCAGCAACGTACAAGATTGGGGATTCCATCTTGTCAAAGCAAGTGCGGCAAACGAAGCTATGAGCACGGGAACAATAAAAATAAATCCAGGTGTAGAAATGCACTGGGGTCACCAGTTAGCAGTGGCGAGCGTGGCAGTAGAGAAGAAAGAAAGGAATCGCATTTTAACAGATACCGTATAGGAAATGAACGTAGTCGCAGGTTTACCGAGCAAAAACAAGAATAAGAGGAAGGAAGAGAGTGGCTGAGAGGCTCACCTATTATTTATTGTGTTTTTACGAGAAAAGACATCGTATTGAAAAAAAAATAATAAAAAATAAATAAATAAAAACAATTCAACAATATGTTCATGTATACGGCTCCACCTCCCTAGTATATAAATATTCATTCAACCCTCCAGAAATAGAATATGACTTAGGTTTTATGAAACTTTTATTAGAAAGTTTCCTTTTTAGATTCTTATTATCTTTTTATCTATTATTCTAGTGTCCTTACAAATAATTATTATAAATTATATATGAAACACAGTTT